TATATAACAATAATAAAAATAATGTTGTGGCATTTCGGGCCGCAACATTTCTCCCCCTGTTGAAAACCCAGGTTTTCAACTAACAGACTCCTCTTCAGTCGGTAGCAGACACAATTTTACTATCGGACGCTTCAATTCTGCTCCAGATCCTAGGCGCATAGTTACCACTCGTACAACACCGTCCTTACCAGGATGTACATTCACAACTCTTCCTAATTTCCATTTTGTGGGTGGTGCATTTTCATCCCTTATTATAGCAATATCACCGATTTTTAATATTGTTTTATTGCTAGTCCATTTTCCTCTAATCTGTAGCTGAGGTAAATATTCGCTAGACCATCTTTGCCAGAAAAGTTGCATTAAATATTGTACGTACTTCCATCGTCTTAAGCTGCTCAATGACTCTCGCCTCAGATCCACTTCAGGAGGTAACGATATTGGACCACCTATCAAGAAGTGAGCTGGAGTTAGTGCTTCTATATCAGATGGATCACTGCTGATTGGGGTTAATGGTCGTGAGTTGAGACATGCTTCTATTTGACATAGTAGTGTTGATAGTTCTCCTATTGATAACCTGGCATCACCCATTATTCGAGTTAGATGATGTTTTGCACTCTTGACCGCGCTTTCCCATAGGCCACCGAAATGCGGAGCTGATGGTGGATTAAATCTCCATTCTATCCCTCTCTGAGCTATTTGTGGTTGCGCAGATTTTATATGGGAGTATAGCTCTCTTTTAGCTCCAACAAAATTTGTGGCGTTGTCACTAAATATTGTGGAACATAGGCCTCTGCGTGCTGTAAATCGACGCAGCGATGCAAGGAAGGCTTGACTCGATAAATCTTCGACTGACTCCAGGTGAACTGCTCGTGTAGTAAAACATACGAAAACAGCTATCCAGGCCTTTACGCCTATCACTCGCCTTATACCACTTCTAATAATAATTGGTCCTGCAAAGTCGACTCCAGTAACCGCGAATGGTCTCATGATTTGAACTCGCTCTTTGGGCAATGAGGCCATCAAGGGGGCATTAAATGTAGGTTTAGCTCGGATGCATTTTACACAACGTGATACTACAGAACGCGCCATCACTCGACTTCTTAGCGGCCAATACCTTCGTCTCACTTCCGCAAGCAATGCTTGAGGTCCACAATGTAATTGCTCAAGGTGCTTCTGTTCAAATATTAATCGAGTCACCTTATGATTTGCAGGCAATACGACCGGGTGCCTTTGTAGTATTGACAACTTAGAATTGTCTAAGCGTCCACCAACTAAGATTAATTCGTCTTTTATAAATGGATGTAGCGATTTTAGTTTACTATCAGATCGTAACTCCCTTTCAGATTTCAAATTCTGTAACTCATCAAGAAAACATTCAGCTTGGACTTGTTTTAATATGCATGCTTCCGCCAATTGCAGTTCTTTTACCGACAAATGACCCTTACTTGGTACCCTCTTCGTTTTCAAATATACTATAAATCTTTGTAACCAAGCTGTTGCTCTCTTCAGTCGTGACCATGATGAGAAATGCTGTACCAACTCTTTATTAGATTGAACTCCAACTAATGCAAATCGAATTATGCGCTGTTCAGGTATTTCTTCTTCCTTCAATATACTTCTTGGAACTTGTTCCCAAAATTCGTCTGATACACTTAGCCAATCAGGCCCAGTCCACCAAAGTCTGGAAGTACTTATCTCCTTTACATTAGTACCACGAGAAATCATATCAGCAGGATTTTTATTTGTTCTAACATAATTCCATTGCGATGTATTTGTGAGCTCTAAGATCTGGTTCACGCGATTGCTGACATACACCTTTAATCTATTGGATTGTGCGTTTAACCAACTAAGAACCACAGTAGAATCTGTCCACAAGTGACACTTATAGCGATCGATTTCCCAAGACTCCGTTAGCCTTTGGAGTAGCTGTGTTAACACTAGGGCTCCATTCAGTTCAAGACGAGGAATCGTTGAACCCTTTATTGGTGCTACACGACTTCTAGCACATAGCAGTCGTACTTGCCACGTATTATCTGAAGAGCGTGATCGTACATATATGCAAGCCCCATACGCTTCTTGTGACGCGTCACAGAAGCCATGGATCTGAAATTCATCTGGGTTTGGTAGAACCTTCCTTGGAATGGATACATCTTGCAGTTGTTCTAAGTCTTTATGAAATGACATCCACCGATCTTGAATGTCTGAGGATAATGGACTATCCCAATCAATTTTCAGTGCCCATATCTGTTGTAAAAATATTTTTCCCTTTACGAGGATTGGGGCTATAAACCCTATAGGGTCAAACACCTTATTCAAATCGGATAACAGCGTTCTCTTAGTCAATTTTGGTCGTACTGGTGTTGGTATGACATTGAACCTGAACTCATCAAGTACTGGATTCCAACATAAACCTAGAGATTTAATAACTTCTTCATCTCCTAATTCCAAGGTAAATAGAGGGTCGCTGACATCCTTACCGATATGTTCCAGTACATGAGAAGAATTCGAACACCACTTCCTGAGAGGTAATTTTGCAGAAGCTAGTATTGACGTTATCTGTTGGTACAATTGAATACATTCTGCTTCGGTTTCACCTCCCGTCATGAGGTCATCCATATAAAAATCTCTAGCTATCGCCTTCGCAGCTCTAGGAAATTTTTCATACGTTTGTTGTGCCAACGTCACCAAACACTGCGTTGTCATAAATGAGGCTGGTTTAGTACCATAAGTCACGGTAACTAGTTGGTAAGTACGGAGAGCTTCACTAGGATCATTTCGCCAAAGTATCCTTTGCAGATCCCAATCTTGTTCTGCTACAGCTACTTGTCGAAACATCTTCTCGATATCTGATGAAATCACATATTGGTATTTTCGAAAACGCGTAAGAATTAAGAATATGTCCTCTTGTGTCTTTGGGCCTCTCATCAATACATCATTGAGTGACAAGCCTGAAGAGGTTTTCGCTGAGGCGTCAAAAACGATGCGGGTTTTAGTTGTCAAACTTGAACTCTTGAATACTGCGTGGTGTGGTAAGTAGCATGATCGCTTAGGAATATTCGATTCCTTCGGAACTTCTTGCATATGGCCCATATCGAGATAGTCTTTCATAAACTTTGTGTACTCAATTCGTAAGTTTGCATCTTGCTGTAATTTTCTCTCCACGCTAAGAAACCTAGATGTAGCTAAATTGACACTCTGGCCTAAATTAGTTAGGTCAGTTTTAACAGGTAACTGTAACACGAAACGACCTTCTTCGTTTCGTTTGAATGTAGATTGAAAGTGTTCAAGTGCATGGTTCTCTTCAATAGAACTCTGATTTGCCTTTGATTTTTTGTCGTACAATTCATCTTCGTGGCCGAGAATTATTTTCGATTCTTCTTCAAATGACCTGTTAATACTTAGCAGACAAGTGTTGTTCATTTCGCCTGTGACTATCCAACCCAGCTTGCTATCTTGAAGATATAATCTATTTACATCAAGTTGTACACGACTTGGTTGCAAGATATCAAAGAATATGCTACCTCCAATTAATAGATCGATTTGCTTAGGATCATAGAAGTGAGGATCTGCTAACTGTGGTAATAGTTCACTTGGAATTGTCCATCCTTCCATCGGAGTACGAACGGGTTGTAGCTGTGACATGATGACAGGTAAGGTATAGCACGATAGCTTGAAACTCGATGAGCCAAATCTGGATTCAATATGTATATCAACACATGTGCTCGACTGTAGTGTATTTGCTCCAATGCCACTAACTGGAAGTGTTGATTTTGTTGCTGGTAATTGTAGTTGTCTTGCCAGTCCCTTGGATATAAAATTAACTTGCGAACCACTATCTAATATGGCGTGGCAATTCTTGAATACACCTTGATTGTCTCTTATTAGAACTACAGCTGTTGATAAAAATACGTGTCCATGCCCTTGTTGAACTAATAATGATTTTTTGGAGTCACCTTGGTTCGGAGACGACGTTACATCTTCTACAGATTTGTCCTCAGTGTTAAAAATTGTAGGTTCATTCTGCCTTTCATAATGAAGTAAAGTGTTGTGCCTACCCTTGCAAATAAAACAATTAAATTTCGATTTGCATTTATCAGCTGTGTGATGTGGATGAAGACAATTGAAACATAGTTTTAAATCTCGGACTACTGTAACACGTTCTCCCATAGGTAATTCCTTAAACTTATTGCATGCGTACAATTTGTGCGATCCGGAACACCAGTTACATTTTATATCATTTGAAATATAAGCTGTGAGTCCCTTCTTTGTGTACAGTTTATGATTAGGTTTTGAAAACTTGGTTGTTAAGTTGTTAGGAACGCAAATCTTGCCGGTCAGTTCGTTATTCATTACTGCTTCTGAATTTTCCAATGCCACACATCGACTGGCTAGAAAGTTCTCAAGATCTGAATACTTTGGTAGACTGGTGTTCTTTAAATGCAGCTGCCATCCATGTCCAGTACTTTTGTCTAGCCGTCCAGTCACAATGGTAATTAGCCACGCATCCCAATACTCAACTGGTTGGTCTAGTGCTTGTAATGCAGCTACATGTGTACATATGTGCGCATACAGTTTTTGTAGAGCTCCAGAAGACGCCTCTTCGATTCTTGGACAATCAAGTATGGACCTTATGTGCGATTGAATCACAAGACTTTTATTATCATATCTATGTTGGAGTCTTTCTAAAACTACAGTATAGTTGCTGTCATTTATGGGAATAGATCGTACCAAATCTAATGCAGGACCTGATAGACAAGAACGTAAATAATATAATTTTTTGTGCTGTTGAGTACGAACTATCTTCATGCACCATAGCACGATAAATGTCATAAAATGATGACCATTCTTGGATATTTCCATCAAACCCAGGTAGGGAGATAGGAGCCAGTTGTGTTCGGTGTCCTTGACAATTTCCCAAAGATGCATTCGATGCTGCTTCACCCATTAACCTTTCATTATTTATTAATTCATGTATTTGAGATCTTACTGTGAAAAATTCGTTTTCAAATGTCTCTCGTTCTTCGTCAGATTTGGAAATATCTTCAATATCTAATAATTCGATTTCAGTTTGAACTTCGTCAAACTTTCGATTAATCGATGGTAGCTCTTCTTGCCTGAATACAAGTAACGATATAGGTTGTTCGGTAACATCAAAATTGCTGATAAATGTCCGCATCCTGGTTAGGGAGGCCTTAACCACGGCACGCTTTCTTTTGAGACCAGCTAGGATTTTCAGTGATGTCTCGTCTAACGACATTTTAAATTATTAATTAGCTCGTATATATATATACTATTACGCGAGTTATATCGAGAATATGCTTATAATTGAATGGTAGTAAGATAATGTATTATACTGATAATACGTGCGAAGGAAATATAACGAAAATATATCGTATAACAATGAAAAAATAAGATAACGAATAATATGCAATTTCCTTAATTAATATCAATAACTTATCAAATACTCGTATATGATATCACGTCGAGGTCACCAAAAATGTATGGGCCGGGAGCATCTAATTATAAGTATGCGCGCCCCGGTCA